AAAACAATCAGGATATGTTGCCCCTGCCATTAGTGTCAAGGTTTTTTTTTAAGTATACAATACTTGATACTAATTTATTTGCATTCAGCAACTAGTAACTTAGTATTTGGAATACATTTCTGCATTAATGGTTACTATATTCTTCTAATGTTTCTCTTTGTTGATTTGACATTGGTTGTGTTTCAATTATAAACTTTTTTGATTTCTCATTGACACTATGTACACTTAGATTCATGTCCCTGGATTATAAATGTCATTTCCTAATTGGTTCTATCATTTAAAAAACATGGAAAGGTGTATTAAACTTCAAAAACTATGTTTTTGCAGGACATCTTACAGCACATTTTGCTATAGTTTTTCAGTGAACATCTCATCGAGTCTCAACCAATTCAAATAGTTTGTGGAAGCCACAAAAATGACATTTCTGGAGTATAACAACGACTTTTTAAAAAAGTACCACACATTTAAACAGGAAACAACACTTCCCAACCAGGAACAGATTTTTTTCCAAACTTTGTTACATAGTCTAATTAATTGTTTCAAAGGGAGAAAGAATTCATCTTTTTGGCGCAGTGTTCATCAAAAACACCTTTTGGGGCTCAGTTTTTTTATTATAAGAAGTCACAAATAAAAGCTCTTTGAACATCTGTTTAGTTACAAATTAAGCTTAGTTATATATGAAAGCGGGTCTTCCAAGCCTGATAATTATTGTCCTCTGAACTTGTATAAAATATACCTTCTTATAGTAATTTTTTCAGACATTCTTTCTCTTGTGGTAAGTTTGGTAAGTTGCTGTTTTACGAAAGTTAACTTTCATATTTTCCACTTGCCTCTCTCTCTCTCTCTCTCTCTCTCTCTCTATATATATATATATATATATACACACACACACACACAGAGTGTATTTTAATATTGTGACAAATGTTTTTAACGTTTATGTATGCATATAATGAATGAATGTTTGCCGTTTATATGCTGTGCTCCGCCTTGAGTCCCCTTTAAGGTGAGAAGGGCAGAATATAAATGTTTTAAATTATATATATGTATGTTTGCTGATAGTGGATTAGAAACAATATGAATTGATACTATAGTTTAGGACAAGCAGCCTAAACTATATGATAACATCATCTTTCATGACGTCATCCTGATATTGATATTCAAATGAAAGTTGCTTTTGAATATTCAAAATCTTCTGAAGGAAGAAAAACCAAGGAAAAGCAAACACGCATTATACAGATAATTGAATGAAAATCTACATGTAACCTTCCACAAGAAATCATCTAAATTTCAAAAAGAATTCCTATATGAAGTTGTTGCCCAACAGTTATAAGGTCTTATATTCAAAGAGTAATAGCTGGGCATTTGTTTTATCAATGTTTCAATAATTATATTTTAGCCACTATCAAGAAATGGAGAATCTGTTTATGTTATCATTGGTGTCAAAGCACTTGGATACCAGCGAAATTCAAAGATTGATCTCATGGAAAGTGAATAGGACTGCCAATCTCCCCAGTACAAACTGTCACTGAAGATAGCCAATCCTATGTTTAAAAGTGGTATCTGATGAATTTCAGTGTCAGCAGTTGGAGAACTTACACTTTTGTTGAGAAGGTGCTTTGGGGTCCGTTATATATGGAATTCAATTTTTTCATTGAATAGGCCACAATTTATGCTCTATGAAAGTTTAGTGCTATCTGAAAATCAACTCTGACCATTTCACATTTAGTGAGTATAATGAGTATAAGATATTCCATTCCATTAAATATAATTGTGGAAAAGAAACTAGGAACAGAGTTGCATTATAAGCCATTCTTCAAACCCAGGCTCTTTTGTGCTACAGAGGTACTCAACCTTGCACTCTACCATGCCTGTCTCGTTCTTTCACTATATTTTTTTACAACTAGCTTAATTGGTGTCTACTGCTGGGATACATTTGTCACCACAGCATCACTTTGAACCTCATAACATCAAAGGAATGAATTTCATTCATAACTTCATGTAAAAGGGTGGTAGAAATAACAAGTCTTGTAAAATAAAACATGCAGCAAGAGGAAGGCAAAAGGGTGGGAGGCGGTGGTGTGTAGTTTTGTATTTTAGTTAAGGAGAGCACAACAATCATAGTAAGGGGAAGATACTACCCTGTTTTTGCATTGCTTCCTACTTGCATGCATTATTCTATAATTCACTCACCAACATGGTGTGTATGTTATGCTATGTGACCCAGGTCAAAAATGTGTTGTCAAGGAAATAGAGGGCAAGTACAAATCAAGTGGGATGCAAATGACTGTACAATATGAGAACAGGTTTAGCAGAAATTGCTTCCTTGGAGAGGTTGCCAAGTGAAGAGAAAGATAAGGAGTTCTTTAGAAAAGAAGCAACAGGGAAACCTGTCAGCTTCACATTTATGCAATGGTCTTGCTGGAATATAGCAAAGAACTTGTATTTCTAGGATATCTCCGTTGAGTTTTAAATCCTCATGGTTTATGGTGGCCTTCTCTGAAGACAATTTCTGCATAAGAAGCTCTTGTGTCCTGTGTTGTTGGTTGTCCTTCCTTCCTTAATTTCTTTGGTCATGTTCCCTTCCCCACAGACTTCGCTTTACTGCAAGTGTGTTTGTTCCAGAATCGAAAAACTTGCAAGTGAACAAAGCCCTCAGACAGCATCACAGTGGCTAGAATTATCAGTCAAACACATTGTGTATTAATTATGATGCTTGCTTTCTTATTGAGCGCCTGTCTGTGAGTAGGAGAAAAAATATGCATGAATAGAAAATACAGGAGGATTACGGGTGGAAGGCTTTGTCTGAGACCCTGTTTGATGCTGACTGAACTTTAAGCCCTGCTGGTATATTTCTACTGGCAAACATTCAGGAAGACTAAAGCTCAACTTTTTTTCATGAGCCATGCAAGAGCATCCAAATAGAGTGCACTACACGATCCATGAGTGGCCATTTAGGTCAACTTGCGCCTTTGTACAAAGTTTGAGGAAGGACTTAAACCAGTGTTACCCAGAGCTGTAACTGTGTATGTTACCAAAGGACCTATAGTGACTGATGGGACAAAATACAATTGGTTTTACATAGCTGGGAGACCAGGTTTTGAATAACTTAAAACAATTTAGTCAGCTAGATGAGTAATTAAGCCTCTGTGGTTGGGCATGAAGTGGGAGTGTAATACAAACTGGTAGATGCAAAGACATAGGTTTCAATTTATGATTTTTTTCTTGTTTATCTGTGGCCTGTTTATCTATGGACCCCTTTTCTGCCATCTTAATCCATTCATCAAATCAGTCTGCCAGCCAGCTTGTCTTTCCTTAGGGTCCTTGGAATATTTCCTGTCTCCTGTCATAGTAACCAGTCAAGAGAGTAGGTGATGTTCTTGAGGTTACTGCTTCTTTAATTGTGGGTCCTGGCCCCAAATGGGGTCCCTTTAGCTCAGTGTTGGAGACATTAAAAATTTGGCAACAGTAAAGGTTTTCTGGATGCTACCTAGTGGCTGTTTTAGACATTTACATGGCTCTGTTGTACTGTTTTGACTCAGCTTGTCTCCATAAAAAGGAAAATCAATCTGTTTAGTAAGCCTTGCAAGTACTGATTTATTATATCTGTTTTATATACCTATATACCCAGTGTTATGTAAAACAAATATCAAGTGGAAAGGGGTTGCAAGTGGAAAAGCTTAAGCTGCCTTGCAGATTATCCTGCAAATTGCAAATTGGGTGAAACTGGTATGGCACTTCTTAAAGCAACTCTGCAACATACCCGGATTTACTTGAATCTAATGTAATACAATATAATACTATTAATAATAATATGATATTGTAATTATATATTTTGTATTAAATGTAATATTACTAATAATATTACAGTATAATGTTGTAGTACAATGTAATATATAATATTAATATTGTGCTATGGTAATATAATATATTGTATTTACTTTTTACTTGTAAGCCACTCTGAGTCCCCTTCGGGGTGAGAATGTCGGCATATAAATGTCATAAATAAAAAAAATAATGCACAATGTATGTCGAAGGCTTTCATCGAATCACACGTTGCTCCAACAGACAAGAGTCCTTTGTCCCACCCTGGTCATTCCAGATATATAAACCCTTTTTCCTAGTTCCAACAGACCTCACTACCTCTGAGGATGCTTGCCATAGATGCAGGCGAAACGTCAGGAGAGAATGCCTCTAGAACATGGCCATATAGCCCGAAAAACCTACAACAACCCAAAATAATGCACTATTGAATCTAATGCACACCTCAGTATTCAAAATCCTGAAACCAAAAAAAGTAATTTCTGCCAAATGTAATGCAGCAGCAAAAGGCGCACTCTTTGTAACTTGGCCAAAAAAAAAAGATTCACATTACTGTTGCTGTCTGCTTAGAATTCCTTCTTTAAAAACAAAAGTGCTTGGACACCAAAGCTTCTAGCAATAGAACAGAAAACCTTGGGGTGCATCTATGCTGTAGAATGAATCTACTTTAACTCCCCTGGCTTAATGTTATTAAATCATGTAGTTATACAAGGCAATTTTCTTTCTCTGCCAAAGAATACGGATGCTTCACCAAACTACAAATCCCAGGATTTCATAGCATTGATCCCCGGCCATTAAATTAGAGATGACATCCTTCAAATAGGAGCTCCAGGTGCTCCTGAAGCCGCTTCCCTTTTTGCTTTGCCTCAACAATAATATGACTGTATTATATGAATCTAATGAACACCCTAATTTTGGCAAAGTAATTCAGCCAAAAAAGGTGGGGATTAGATTTGAGTAAATATGGTGTTAAAACTTAAGTGTATGAATAGCATAGCGTGTCATGCAACTAATCCTCATTCTTCCCTTCCAGTCTGAAGCTATCCTTGTGTTTCTTTTGTTAGTAAGTTATTTTTCTTTCAAGTAGTGTGTAAATGTTCTGTTATTAAAATACATTTAAATATGTTAGTGAAGATTGGGTTTGAGTGTCTTTCAACAACGTCTTCTTTTTCTGTTATCAGGTTGTCAACGTGCCATAGGCCTGTCCAATGGCAAGGCAAAAGTCTGCAGCTACAGCGGATGGTACTATTGCAGTTTCTGTCATGTGGACGACAATTTTCTTATTCCTGCCCGGCTGGTTCATAACTGGGACACTTCAAAATACAAGGTGTGGGCTCATTTCATGGTAATGGTACCCAGAACCCCTTCTTGTTGCTCTTTGTTATTAGAAATTCCATAACCTACTGGAAACAACTACACCATAACCTTATTAAAAAGGTAAAAATGATGCCACGTTTGGCAAATGTGAATCTTCAGGAACATGTGGAAACCACCTTTTGAAAACCACTAGTCAAGAAGAGCATGACCTTGTTAGAAGTCAACTCTTTGAACAAATGTTATTATTCATAAGCATTTGAATCCCCTTTGGGGTTGAGAAGAGCGGGGTATAAATACAGTAAATAAATAAATAAATAATAAAATGTAATGGCACTCAGTTGTTAAACTGAAGAAACATGTATTTAAACTGCCAAGGATAAAGACATGCCACTACAAAAATATATTTGGTTAACAGAGGATGGTTGTTTCTTTGAAGTAGAAATTGCAGTTGTAATTGCTCAAAAGATATACGAGGGGTATTTTTTAAGTAAGGTCCATTGGAACATAAGTACACAACGAAGGTTTATTTCAAAAAAGTAAATTTTATTTTCAGAAAGTACATACTTCACTCTATTTTTCGACATAGTTGCCAAGTTTGTTCAAACACTTATCATACCTCTGAACAATTTTAAAATACCCTCTTCATAAAAACTCGCTTCAACTGAAGCCACCAAATTGTCTGTAATCAAAGAAGGGTGACCGGAGTGGTCCTCATCATGGACGTTGTCACGGCCATCTTTGAATTGTCATACCCACTTACGCACTTTGCTTTCACTCATAACAGTATCACCGTACACTTCACAAATGTGTCGATGAATTTCTGCAGCAGGCAGGTTCCTTGCTGACAAAAACCGTATCACTGAGCGAACCTCACATGCGGCGGGTGTGTTGATAGTCTTAAACATTTTTAAAGCACAGAACAGAACCGTACAGGTTAGCTACAGAGCGGAAACTGAGCACAATTGTTCCCAAGGCATGCTGGTAAATGACGCACGAGCTCGTTGCAGTATGCGTGCGAACTACTAGTGTGTACAACAAAACAGACCTTAACTTAAAAAATACCCCTCGTACATTCCTTTGAAATGTTTTAGTTAAAAATATGCACTCAGAGATAAAAAAAAACCCAAAATCTTCTTTGAAAAATAACATAGCTTGTTTACTCACAATCATCTTGCATTAATTCACCATACAGGCACATTTCTTCTTAAAGTTCAGTTAGATAGGATGTAGGTTTCTCTCTGTGTTGAGTACACAAGGTATCATTCTTAATCAATTCTCCATAATCTTTAAGTATAGTTGTACTCACTGAAGTCCAAAATCATATTGTATCAATTAAAGTCTCTAAAAAGTACCACTGAAGTCTGAATACAAAATGGAGTCCTGAGTCTGAACATGCTCAGTATAATCACATGTCTATCACCCCTCCCACACCAAAGAGGTACAGTCAAAATGTCAAATCAACATACACAAAGAATACAGGTTAGCAAATATATAAATTAACAAATCAATAGTGAAAGGCTTGGGAGGTTGCGATTTCCAAAATTGGTGGGGGATAAACGTACAAAAAGAGCAAGGGTAGCCAATCTTCACCCTTTCCAAGAATTCCTCCAGGAACCACAAATTAGAAGGGTTCACTGCTGGAATCAAAGATCTTTTCCTCCTCCATCCAAAACAAAAGAAGAGAAAAGGAGTTAAAGGGAAAAAGAGAAATAGTCAGTAATCTCACCTTTAAATGTAAACATTCTCATTTAAATATTTTTTTATTGAAAATGTTTTAATACATTAAAACAGGAGGGGGGGAAAGGGGGGGAAGGGTCTTAGGGAAAGGGGAGGGGAGGGTATGAAAAGGACAACAAGGGGTATGAGAAGGAAAAGGGGAAGGGCGGGGGAGAAGTGGAAGGGTAGGTTTTAGGTATTGGAGGAAGGATAATTAATAGGTTTAGGAAAATTGGAGAGGGGAGAGAAAAAAGGGGAGTCTTCCATGTCTCTTCATAGTGGTTGTCTTCAATTTTTTGGTCTTACTTCTTCATATTTTACCTTTCTTCTTTCTCCTTGTGGTGGTTCTGTCTGTCTTAATGCTTATAGTCTATTTTATATCAGTCGTTTCATTTTATTTTCTTTAATCCAGTTTTTTAACTGAGTCCAGTCTGTCTTCTTGATACATTTATTTTGTATCTTTGTAATTAGGAAAGTCAATTCATCCATATTCATTATATCTAGGATTTTCTCTATCATTCTTCTTTCTGAAGTCTTAATTTTTGTCTCCAAGTCCTTGCATAAACAATTCTTGCCACTGTTGTTCTATAGATAAATAGTTTATCCTTGTTGGAGTTTGGTTGTAAATTTGTCATTCCTAAAAGAAAAGTTTCCGGTATTCTCATTTAAATATTATACCTTTGGAAAGTTTTGGGATTTTGTCTAGCACACAAAATTAATCCAATCCTAAAAGGGGCATTTTCTCTATATTGGAAAAATGTCTTGGCTGAATAATTTGGCCCAACATGGTGAATACATTTCCCTACTCTTTTGGTGCGCCCTCTTTCATGGTTCATAGTCAGAATGGAAGGATCTATGTGAATTCAGTACTGTTGTGTCTCTTATATTAGAAATAGTTCTGGAAAAATCCTTCATATTCAGATCCATCAAGCAGGACTATCAGATAAAATATGATGGCACCTTAGAGTGAAACAGGCAGGGCCAAGTGTTTTTTTTTACAGCCGAAATCTTATCAATTTAACCATCTGAAGAAAAGGTATATATGCTGAAGTTTATGTTGAAATAAATCAATCAGTTGTAAAGGTCCCACAAGAATCTTCTTTTTCCTCTCTTTTTTAGACAGAGCCTAATTTGGGGATTTTCTAGTTTTTGTAAGAAAATATAACATCTCCTAGAACAGGGGTCCTCAAACTAAGGCCCGAGGGCAGGATGCGGCCCTCCAAGGTCATTTACCCAGCCCTCACTCAGGGTCAACCTGTCTGAAATGACTTGAAAGCACACAACAATAACAACAATAATCCTATCTTATCAGCCAAAAGAGGCCCACATTTTCCGTTGAAATACTAATAAGCTTATATTAGTTAAAATTGTTATTCATTTTAATTATTTTATTGTTTTAAGTGTTTTTGGGGGTTTTTTTGCACTACAAAGAAGATATGTACAGTGTGCATAGGAATTCATTCATTTTTTTTTCAAATTATAATTTCAAATTATAATCCGGCCCTCCTACAGTTTGAGGGACTGTGACCTGGCCCTCTGTTTAAAAAGTTTGAGGACCCCTGTCCTAGAGGATATCTCCAGTTAAGCTATCTGAAGAACTGAATGTGGGCTTTCAAACATTTGGATGTGTTTCCCAATGTTAATGTTTAGTTTCTGGGGTTCATTCACATCCCTTTCTTTAACTGCTGCTGTCAGATAGAAACTGCTACCTGTTCTTTTTCTTCTCCCGTCACTTTGAGTGTATAGGAATCAATGTATGCATGAACCTTATTTGGTAATGTTGATATAACTAGGCATGTGTTTTCGTTGGTTCCCTAGGAATTCACTGTGCATGTGTAATGTCAATCGTGTTTTATGTGTCATCCTGCTCACTGGCTGCACGTCTGCTTCACATTCGCAGGGCTAAACAGAGCAAAGTAGCAAAGGCAGTGATTCAGCAGCGTGTTGGATAAGGAATTAAATGTAATCTACTGCCTTTACTGTAGAAGTTAGAGTGAGAGTGACATTGCACTGACTACCTTTGGGCTTAGCAGGCCTGGCTGAGTTTCCTTAGCACAGATATAAGGTTAATTTTTTTTATTGATTTACTGAACAATTGGATATTGTGGAAAAACAACCTTGAGAAGATACACAGTACATTTTCCTGTCTCTTGCTTGTATTAATACTGAAAAAAGGCAATAGAAATATTTTTCTGGGTTTTTAAATCAGATAAAGATTAATCACATTGGTACAATGAACTTGTAATTTAGACTTTGTGATCCACCAATTCCTGCTCAGTCTCCCTTCAGGTATTCTGGTGATTGCTGAGTTAAGTACCGTAAAGGCATAACTGTTTTACTGTTATATATTCTTAGGAGAAAAGGAAAAACAATTAGGATATGAATGAAAGAAAGAATACCTCTGTGGAGATCCCATCAAACAACTATAGTCTTAATCAGACAAAGGTGGTATAGGGTGGCCTCCAATGTAGCATTGCCTTTAAAAAGACTTAGCTGGCCTACTATGCAGAAAAGTAAGTAAGTAGACCACAAGCTGATCATGGGTCAACAGTGTGGTGCAGACAACTAAAAAAGCCAATGTGATTGTAGGCAGCATCTATAGGAGTATAGTGTCCAGACAGAATCATAGAGTTGGAAGAGACCTCATGGGCCATCCAGTCCAACCCTCTGCCAAGAAGCAGGAATATTGCATTCAAATCACCCCTGACAGATGGCCATCCAGCCTCTGTTTAAAAGCTTCCAAAGAAGGAGCCTCCACCACACTCCGGGGCAGAGAGTTCCACTGCTGAACGGCTCTCACAGTCAGGAAGTTCTTCCTCATGTTCAGATGGAATCTCCTCTCTTGTAGTTTTAATCCATCCTAGTCTCCAGGGAAGCAGACAACAAGCTTGCTCCCTCCTCCCTGTGACTTCCTCTCACATATTTATACATGGCTATCATATCTCCTCTCAGCCTTCTCTTCTTCAGGCTAAACATGCCCAGCTCCTTAAGCCGCTCCTCATAGGGCTTGTTCTCTAGACCCTTGATCATTTTAGTCACCCTCCTCTGGACACATTCCAGCTTGTCAATATCTCTCTTCAATTGTGGTGCCCAGAATTGGACACAATATTCCAGGTGTGGTCTAACCAAGGCAGAATAGAGGGGTAGCATGACTTCCCTAGATCTAGACTATGCTCCTATTGATGCAGGCCAAAATCCCATTGGCTTTTTTTGCCACCACATCACATTGTTGGCTCATGTTTAACTTGTTGTCCACGAGGACTCCAAGATCTTTTTCACACGTACTGCTCTCGA